CACTGCCAAAGCCGAAGAGATAGCGTAGACACCTTTTTCAAGAGGCGGAAGCTCCTGAGTAAGGAAGTGGTCAATAATTAAGGCCTTTAGCTTTTAAACACAGCCCAGGCAGATGTTAATGTGTTTCTAACGTGTGCTGTCAGAGCCACTTCTGAGAACAGCAGGGAGACAAATTACATCCTGGACTATGACATCCCTTTAGGACAGACCCGAGACCAGCTCTCATCTGTCCCGACCCAAACAAGTACATGAAAACTGCCATTTGACCTATAATAAAAGCACTTATAAACACAACATAGCGTGTTGGCCTGAAGGTATCCGCTTTAAACAGGTTGAATATATACACCTCAATTCCGAAAAACCAAATGACCTGGAAACCTCGGGAAACTGGATCATACTGGAATGAGTCAGAATTAAAGGGATATTCCACCCAAAAATGAAACTTTGTCATAATTTACTCACCCTCATATCATTCCAAACCTGATTGAGTTTCTTTCTTATATGGAACAGAAAGGAAAGAAGATATTTTGAAGAAAGTTGGGAACCAAATGGTTTCGAATCCAAAAAATATTATGGAAGTCAATGGAATCTGAAACCATTCAGTTACAAACATAGTATGAATTTCAGATCCCACTGACTTCCATAATATTTTTCGTCTATACTATGTTGGTAACCAAATGGTTTTGGGTCCCATTAACTTCTATAGTATGAACAAAAAATAAAACGCTTGAGATGAAAAATAAGACGTGAGAAAAACATGAGAACTCAGGATAGATATCACTTTTTGAACCATTTTGGGTCTTCCACAGTATGGAAAAAAATACTATGGAAGTCAATGGGACCTGAAACTGCTTGGTTACCAACATTCTTCAAAAGATCTTCCTTGTTTTCCACCAATTTTTGGGTAAATTGTCCCTTTAAACTCACCGTAAATGACTTTTCTGGTGGCTTTCATTTTCATTTAAGCAAAACAAGATACAAGATCCATCCTTGGACCAAAGCAGATTTTAGTTTTCCCACACATTATCATTACAAACAATATCTTTAATAGGTTTCTCGTGATGAAATGTAAATAGTGCGTCACATTAACTTTACACATTAGAGAGGAGGAGGAAGGGGATGTTTCTCAAATACAAACAAAGCTGACCTCTGTGCACAGGCAGGTTTAGGAGCAGCAAACCTTCCAACTTTGATCCTGAACTAGTGGCTTTCGGTTCACTCAAAGCATTCCTAGACTTAATAGGTCACTACGCTAATAGATTATGTGGAGATGGGTGGGAGTGGGTTGACACAGGTATGCAGGATCACTCAGGGACTGTGACACACTCAGAGGGCCTCTTACACATGCAGTGTGTGATAGAATTTCTTATAACAGCAAATGCAGTGAGCTTGAGTTTGTTTTCTTCTTAATTTAGGCTAGTTTTTTTGTGATATTGACACTGGTGACAAGAATTATGAAATTTCTATGGTATCAAATATTTTGATAACAAAGACCTTATTTAAAGCAAAAATACATTTATAATCTTACAAAAGACTTCCATTTCAAATAAATGCTGTTCTTTTCGATTTTCTATTCATCAAAGAATCCTGAAAAAAATGTACCATGAGTACCCATTATAACTGATCAATCGGTCATTTGCAGTGATTCATGGAATTATAGTTAATTCCCTAATTAACTATAAGACTAAATAACTATATTTGGTCTTTTATCCAGATTTTTTTTTCTTCAAATCAAAGTTTGTAATGTTGTGATTCATCTCAGAGCTGGTTGAGCTTGTTAAAGGCTTAGAAGTCTTTATCGAGGAATTTTCTAAAATCATTATGATGAAAATTAATAGGAAAAATACTTCTAGAATCAATACAGCTAAAAAAAAAAAGTGTCCGGTTACACCCTATAGCAATCACACAGCAGCCACCCACAGCATCCTAACAACCACCTGAAACACAACAGCAACCACCTAGCAGTCACTTATAACCTCACAACCACTTAAAACCAATAGTAACAACTCAGAACACCCTAGCAACCATCCAGAACACTATAACCACATAACAGTACATTAAAAACTCTCAAAACACCTTAACTGCAGAACGACGACCTGGAAACAACCCACAACTTCTTCAGAAAATCTGGTCTACACTGAAAAATATTTGGCCGAAATTATTTTTACTCATGAATTGCAAGTACATTCCACAAATAACTATAAAGAAATTGCAAGTAAACTTTAAATATGAGATTTTGAAGTAGAAAGACTGAAATAGTATTTTTTAAAACATACTCTAATATTCTTTATTTACAACTGCAAAAAATATTTTGACACTTTAACTTAGTTTTTAGTTTTAATTTGTAGTAACACTGTGTACAGTATGTTGTAGTAATACGCTAAAAAACAACAACAAAGAAACCATTTTAGCTAGTATTTAGTGACTAATATTCAGTTTAACAATAATTTGACCCATTAAAGACGCTTTGGATGGGTGGACTGAGCTACTGGCTCTTCTCTAAGCCTTAAACAGCATTGAGGTGAAGTGAGCCGGTGAAAGTGTGAGGTCTGTGTGATTAAATCGAACAAGACTGATGATAAGACTAACTCAAAGTAATCAATCAGCTTTTCACATGACCTGTGTGTGACTGGAGCTTCCTACACTGGTCTTCATGTTGACTTAGCAGGCAGACACGTTGAGAACGGCACACAATCACAAATTTGTCTTGCAATTGATGTCAAACAGTGTGTGGATATGGAGCCGTTTGAGGACTGAATCTATATGCTCACTTGCAAACAGAAAAAGGCCTTCGAGGGGTATGAAGTGAAACAGAGGAGATAAAAAAGATTTGAGAGAAAAACAGAAACCGGCTCCTCCACTGTTTCATGACATCAGTGCAGGACTCGCTCGCGTGTGGTGCTGCCCATCTGAAACCTACACCTCAGATAATTACAGGGCTGTGATAGTCAGACGCTTTATGACACACCCACGCATAAGCATACACACTCGCTCACGCTTCAAAAAAAAAAAAAAAAAAAAAAAGA